TTTGAAAAATTGCTTTTCACATTGTTTTAATTGTCTGCTTTGATTAACAAGAATTAGATGCCACCCAAAAATTGCAGATATTCGTCATTGTGAGAAAGGCCGATTGTATCCCATTTGCTATCAAAGAGCTGATAGTCAACAGGTGTTCAAGTGTAGATTTTGATTAACTCCTTTATACTCACAGGCATTTGTTATGGGGGCTTAGGGTGAACCATAAACATCATCTGAGGTTACTTTATAAACCCATGTATACAAGATGGAATTTTTTTTTAAATTTCAAGCAAAAACCACTGTCAACTTTTGGGAATCCCCAGGGATGTAGTTTTTCATAACTGGAATGACTTTTACTCTGGTGTATCACTGCAGAGTATGGCTGCCATATTCTCTGAAATTTACTGGTGCTTATAAAGGCTATAAAATTGGCAATAATATACACAAGTTGTGGTAGGCACAAAAATTTCATAATTCAAGTTTATTAGAAGGTGGAATTCTCAAGTGAGCGTTTGCCCAAAGTTTGCACTGCTTGTGGATTGTAAAGCCTACATGTAGTTTCTTGAATCAGAATACAAAGCCACTGCACAGCTATTTGGATTTTCTGGACTAAAAAATATTCGATTCAGTCAAAAACCAGTATGGAATGAAGATGGTGTGCTCTAGCTATTAATATATTGACTAGCATGTGTTGCACAAAAAATTGTCATTCCGTGCAGGGTCAAAAAATACGACTGACTAGGGACGAAACGTATCGAGAGATCGTTTAAATTCTTTTGTAAATTTGGTGGCTCTAAAAAGAGCCGGTTTGTTTGAATGTCTTTGTCTTGTACGAGTTTATCCACCAAATCCGTAGAGGGTTCGTCCTTGTCGTTTGAGAGCATACACAACGTCCATGGCTGTGACAGTCTTTCTCTTGGCGTGCTCGGTGTAGGTGACGGCGTCACGGATCACGTTCTCGAGGAAAACTTTGAGGACACCGCGAGTTTCTTCGTAGATCAAACCAGAGATACGTTTGACACCACCTCGACGAGCGAGACGACGGATTGCGGGCTTTGTGATTCCCTGGATGTTGTCACGCAAGATTTTGCGATGACGCTTGGCGCCCCCCTTCCCAAGACCTTTGCCTCCTTTTCCACGACCGGACATCTTGAATTTCTTCTCAAATAAAACTTCGTAAGTCAACCTTTTGAATAAAACTGCGAATTCGAATAATTTATCGGGCGTTCGTTCGCAGCTTATATACAGTCCGAATACACTGACGTCTGCGAAGACAGCGCAACAAATATTCTCATTGGTTAATGATTTTCAAACAATGTATTTTCATTGGTTCGTATTCGAGCGATATGATTGGTTTAATTTACGGTAACGCGATTGGTCGAATTTTAGTGTAATTTGATTGGTTGGTTGTAAGCGCCGGTTGATCCACTTTTTCAAACAAGCTCAACACGCTTAGGAATTTCGCTGTTTAAAACTTTAAAGCGCAATAATTTATCAATCTCTCACTAAATTATTTTTTCTAAAGAGTAACATGTCGACTAGCAAAAAATCATGCTTTATTTTTAATATTTTATGCAAGATTTGGGTGTTTTAGCTGGGTGCTTAGTTGAGCTTATCACTCTGTCCGAGACTCGGGCTCTGCCTTTGGTGAGCGGATGTCCCAACAAGCTATTGCGGCATTGCCCAATAGACCTTTCCCCTTTTAAGCGAAATTTTGATCTAGACAAGTCTGGACAAAAATTTCATCACAGCTTGAAAGAGCATCACAAAATTAGTAATATTCCGAAGTTTCGTTGCGAAATGTTCATGTAAAATGCGGATAATATAGCCTTGCAAAGTTTGCCGTTTTTCAGTCATTTTGTATTACAAATGGGAAATTGATAATTAGTTTGATCATCTGATTATCAATTTCCCGTTTGTAATACAAAATGACTGAAAAACGGCAAACTTCGCAAGGCTATATTCGAGGCTATATTATCCTCATTTTACAACATTTTGCAACGAAACTTCGGAATATTTAACAATTATTCGCCGAAGGCGAGGTGATTATCGGTGAATAAAAACCGAGACGAAGTCGAGGTTTTTATTCATGATAATCACCGAGCCTGAGGTGAATAATTGTTTTAGTATAATTTCATAGGTGATTATTTG